AACCGGTTGGTAACTTTCTAAGCAGTTCGGAGAACCGGTTGTTGGAAGAAATCTCAATTTATTTATTTATTTTTTCACTTTACAGGGCTAATCCTGTAAGGAAGGCAGGAAGGAAACATTCTGGTGTTGTTTCTAGCCTAATCTTTATTGCCCTGCTTACAGAAACTGCCTCTTTGGTTAACCCTTATTACCATTGTAACAGCTAAGGCGAAGCATCCATCGACCTGAGTGACGTTAAGCTGGCCACGCCCATCCAGTCACATGATCACTGAGCCACACCTACCCAGCTGGTCATTAGGGCAGAGGACCGGTTGTTAAATTATGGAATATACCAGCGATGGCAAACCTTTTTTGGCTTGCGTCCCATTAGTGGGGGGAGCGCAGGGGGGGTCGTGTGCAGGCGTGCCGCACCCATAATGCAATGCGTGACCCCCCCAGTGCGCATGCACGCACTACAGGTGCCCACCCCCTTTTTTGCATGCTTTTTTTGTCCTCCCCAGGCTCCAGAAGCTTTATAGGAGCCTGGGGAGGGCGAAAAAAGCCCCCTGCCCCTCTGGAAGCCCTCCAGAGGCTTCAGGGACCTTCAGGAGGGTTCCCTGAAGCCTCCGGAGCAGTCAAAATGACCCTCCGAGCAAAACGGAAGTCCGTTCCTGAACTTCCGGTTTGCATGTAGGGCTGTTTTTTTGCGCTTTAGAGGCTTCGCGGAAGCTCATGAAGCCTCCGGAGGGCCTCTGGGGGGGCAGGGAAGGCTCTTTTTGCCCTCCCCAGGCTCCTATAAAGCCCCTGGAGCCTGGGGAGGGCAAAAAATGGCTTTAAAAAAGGGTGAATTCAGCTGTCCAGCGCGCACATGCACGCTGGCCAGCTGACAGGGCAGCGCCTCACGTGCCCTGACAAATGGCTCCACATGCAACCTATGGCACACGTACCATAGGTTCACCATCACTGGCCTACACCATTTCAGACAAATGGTTGTCCAGTCTCCTTTTTAAAATGGGCCAGTCATGGAGGCTGGGGAAGGCTCGGATGAGGGCTCTGCATCGGAGGCAGAGATGGGGCCAAGGCCGTCTTCCAGTGATCAGGTGCAGAGGTGGGCTGCTGCCGGATCAGCCTGGATTGGCTGATCTGGTAGTAGCAGCAGTGGGAGGCTCCACCCACCCGCCCAGACACTTCTGTGCATGCGCGGGAGCGTGCCCGAACCGGTAGTAACAAAATTGGCAACCCACCTCTGATCAGGTCCCTATGGAGCTAGACAGCTGTGAGGCAGAGGAACAGATGGAGCCTGTTCCCAGTGTGCGCATGCGCAGAGCTGCCAGAAGAAAACTCAGTAATCAGGGTAGACTTCAAGGTAGACTGCAGAGATACACTTAACAACTCTGGCAAGAGAGGTCGCAAAATGGGGAAAACTCACTTAACAACTGTCTCACTTGGCAAGAGAAATTTTGGGCTCCATTTGTGGTTGTAAGTCGAGGACTATGGGTATCAGAAAAGCAGGAAGCAGCGGGCCAAATGTTGATTACTTACTAATTGATGCAGATTCCTACCCGTCGCAAGGATCCATCCCAAACTAGGCAATTTGTGTTCACCGATAAGAGCTTGTCACAACTCAATCAGGATTCTCTGCCCTGATCAAATGCATTTGATTGACAATAGGTGTGAGGTTGGTTGGAAGAATAGCAATCCTATCCCTCTCACGTTGTCCATTTTGTTTTGTTTTCCAGTTGTTCCCTACGAAATTACTGTCTACACCAGTGACGTTTTCGGAGCAGGTACCGACGCTGACGTCTTCATCGTTCTGTATGGGGCGGACGGCGTTTCCACGCAACAGAAACCCCTGTGCCAAAGCAAGAGGGAACAAAGGCTCTTCTTCAAGAGGAATTCTATCAATCAGTTCATTGTGGAGGTAAGGGGGAAATGTGCTCTGGATCAGTGGTGGGTTCTGGGAGGTACGTCCCGGTGCGGGGGTACCGGTGGCAGCTGGGAGCAGCTGCCACCATACCGGAACGGTGTTTCTGTTGGGCCTGCTCAGCCGCCCTCATTCCTTACCTCTTTTTAAGCTAGCGGGCCATTTGCGCACACAAGTGCAGCGTACGCCGTCTGCGCGACACTCCGCCGAGCAGCTGAAGTGTTGCAGGGTGGTGGGTGTGGGCAGCACGCGTGCCTGTGTTTGACACCCGGCCCAGTCGCAGCGTACCGGTTGCGACGGGATCCAGAACCCACCACTGCTCTGGAT